CCTTGACCACGCCCTGTCCTTCAGGCTCTCCATCCGGGACCTCTTGAACCATGTCTTCTTCGCCGAGGACACGGGGTTACGGGTGGAGTTGGCGGAGGAGGACATGGGGGTGGAGACCTCCTTGGCCCTTCGTCTTTGGGTGGAGGACCCCAAGAAGTTGAAGGGGAAGCACAAGGACAACGAGGCCATCGAGTTCAGCTTCAACCTGGAGGCCGACGTCCCCGAGGAGGTGGCTTACGAGATGGTGAGAAGGTCAAAGAAGAAGGTTTGGGGGGGACAACCCAAAATGTGGGGTGGGAAACCTCCCCGAGATCCATGGGAAGCTCCAAAATGAGCTTCAAGGCAATGGTTGGCTCCTCAAACTCTTCTTGAAGCTCTTCCAAGGTCAAGGACACCCCAAAATTGACCATGAAACTCACGGTTGGTCCCACCAAACTTCTCTAGAACCTCTCCCAAGGTCAAGGAGACCCCAAAATTGATCATGAACCCTATGGTTGACCCTTCAAACAACTCTTGAACCTCTTCAAGGTTCTCAAGGTCAAGGAGACCCCAAAACTCATCCATGAACCCCAGAGTTGGTCCCTCAAACTCCTCTCGAGCCTCTTCCAAGGTCAAGGAGACCCCAAAATTGACCATAAACCCCACAGTTGGTTCCTCAAACTCCTCTTTAACCTCTTCCAAGGTCAAGGACACCCCAAAATTGACCATGAACCCCACAGTTGGTTCCTCAAACTCCTCTTGAACCTCTTCCAAAGCCAAGGACACCTCAAAATTGACCATGAACCCCACGGTTGGTCCCACCCAACTTCTCTAGAACCTCTTCCAAGGTCAAGGAGACCCCAAAACTCATCCATGAACCCCACCGTTGGTCCCTCAAATTGACCTTGACCCCTTCCAAAGTCAAGTTCTCCACCTTCCCTACCTCTTGCTCCCCACGGACGCCCCATTTTCTTCCCCCCCCTTCTCCCCCCCCCCCCCCCCCAAAAAAAAAAATTCTTGGAGACACAGCAGCCTTGCAGGGTTGGCTGGGCTGTTGGGTTATGATGGCTGC